TGTGTGTGTGTGTGTGTGTGTGTGTGTGTGTGTGTGTGTGTGTGTGTGTGTTTTGAGGATAATTTTTTTTCTTATCTCTATTTATCATTCGCTTTCTATCTGTAACTTTCTTTCTTTCTACTGGGTGCAATATATCATTCATTATTACTCTCTCTCTCTCTCTCTCTCCTCTCTCTCTCTCTCTCTCTACTAAACCCAATACACCAAACACCTAACCATATACTCTCTCTCTTTCTCTCTCTCTCCCAGCTGCCGTGTTAGGCCAGAGGGACAGGATAGTGACCAAGTCCCTAGTCCTGGACAACGGCATGGACTGGGGTAAATGGGGCGAGGCTGATTACTGTGACGATGGCAGTTTTGCTTCCTTTATGGAGGTTAAGGTGGGTAGTCTGGCAATTACTGAGTCTTGTGAGTCTTAATACACATTTTTCAGTCATTAGTGAGTCTTAAAACAGATTCTCCACCAATAGGGAGTCTTATCACAGATTCTCCACCAATAGGGAGTCTTATCACAGATTCTCCACCAATAGGGAGTCTTAACACACATTCTCCACCAATAGGGAGTCTTTAATTACTCATTCTCCAATTAATAGGAGTCTTGACATATTTCCTCCACCACAGTTCGAGTTATCATCAGCTGATTTGATACGATGAGACAGTTGCTAACGCGTCAAGTTGTACTGCGTCAAGCCTGACCTTCATCCAACTAATTACATCATCTCTACGGGAAGGCGTAACGGAGAGTGGATGGGTGAGTTGAAGTGGTGGAGTGGTGGTGGTGATGGTAGTGAGGGTAATGATGGTGGTGACGGTGGTGAGGGTAATGATGGTGGTGACGGTGGTGAGGGTGGTGAGGGTAATGATGGTGGTGAGGGTAGTGGTGATGATGGTGGTGGTGAGGGTAGTGGTGGTGGTGGTGAGGTTAATAGTGGTGGTGAGGGTAGTGGTAGTGTTGAGTTTAGTGGTGATGATGATGGTGGTGAGGGTAGTAGATGATGGTGATAGGAGAGTAGTGGTAGTGGTGGTTGTGGAGGTAGTGGTGATGATGGTGGTGGTGAGGGGTAGTGGTGGTGGTGGCTAGAGTGTAGTGGTGATGATGGTGTGTGGTGAGGGTAGTGTGGTGGTGGTAGGTGTGTGAGTGTGGTGGTGGTAGGTGTGTGGGTGGTGGTGGTAGCTGTGTGTGGTGGTTGTGAGTGTAGTGGTGATGATGGTGGTGGTGAGGGTAGTGGTGGTGGTAGGTGTGGTGAGTGTGGTGGTGGTAGGTGTGGTGGTGGTGGTGAGGGTAGTGGTGGTAGTAGTAGTGTTGAGTGTGGTGGTGGTAGGTGTAGTGGTAGTAGTGTTGTTGGTATCAGGGAAACATAAGAACCCCACAAAAAATCCATTAATAGAGAAAACAAACCTCTAAGACGTACATACATCTAACTGGACATTCAGAACCTTGAGTATGATAGATAGACAGATAGATAGATAGATAGATAGATAGATAGATAGATAGATAGATAGATAATTGACTCTTCTTGTTCCTGTTTCTGTCTGTCTGTCTGTTTGTTTGATGGCTTGTCTGTCAGTCTGTCTCTCTGTTTTTTCTGTCTCTCCGTCTATGTCTTTCTCCCACTGTCTCTCCTTGTCTGTCTCTTCCTGTCTCTCTGTTACTGATTCGGATTCGCCGTGTGATTCATTGTCCACAGTGAGTCTTATACGCATGTGATTCAGTGATTCCAATACACATATGATTCAGTGATTCTTACACACATACACACATGTGATTCAATGATTCTTACACACACACACATGTGATTCAGTGATTCTTACACACAAATGATTCAATGATTCTTACACACATACACACATGTGATTCAATGATTCTTACACACACATACGGTTCAATGATTCTAAAACACATGCAATTCAGTGATTCTAGTAAGCATGTGATTCAGTGATTCAAAAACACATGTGATTCAGTGATTGTAGTGAGCATGTGACTCAGTGATTCTAAAAAAAAAACACAGGTGACTCACTAATTCCTACACCTGTTAATTAATGAGCCAGAACACCTTTCCAGCGGCTGATTTAATTACAAGAGTTTCCACCCGTCTTGGACAGGTATGCGGTCGTGCAGTCGAGGCTTCCTGACGGGGTTGAGAGCGCAGGTGCTGGGTTACCAAGGTGTTGTGTTTGACGACGTGGCGGTCCAGGATATTCAGATGGAGTGTAACTATGGCGACGAAATTATTGATGGCACCAAGACCTATCACAATTTTGGGGTGAGTAGAGAGGGAGGGAGGGAGAGAGAGGGAGAGAGAGAGGGAGAGTGAGGGGGGAGAGGGAGGGAGGAAGGGAGGGAGAGTGGGGAGGGATGGAGGGAAGGTGGGTGTGTGGGTGGCTGAGTGAGTGAGTGAGTTAAGCAGAATAAAACATGATAAAGATGAGAGAGAAATAATGAATGAAGAGAAAGAATGAAAAGAAAGAAAAAACGAGAGAAAACAGATTAAAACGGAAGAAAAAGAGAAAAAAACAACAAGAACAACTTTTCCAAGAATTTAAAAACTGTATTCTTATCTCTTAAAAAAAACACACACATCAAATTGAACGAAATTTAAAGAAACTACAACTTTCTGAACGATACTTTCCGAGACCCTAACACACACACACACACACACACACACACACACACACACACACACACACACACACACACAAACGGACGAGAATGAAAAAAAAAACAATTATTTATTTTCGTTTCATGTCCGTAAAATTAAGACAATGAACAGCCATGGGGTACACACAACAGGTAGAGAGAGAGAATCACAACCACCACCACCACCATCATCATCATCATCATCATCATCATCATCATCATCATAATCATAATCATCATCATCATCATCATCATCATCATCACCATCATCATCATCATCATCATTATTATCATCATTCTGCTTTACTCTCTCTAGATCCCAAACGGTAACTGGGGTACCTGGGCCCGCTGTCCCAATGGCTCTGCTATCTGTGGCATAGAGGTGAGTGTCAGTCTTTGTCAGTCTTTGTGTCAGCCTTGTGTCAGCCTTATGTCAGTCTTTGTGTCAGTTCTTGTGTCAGTCTTTGTCAGCCTTGTGTCAGTCTTTGTCAGCCTTGTTTCAGCCATTGTGTTAACCTTGTGTCAGTCTTTGTCAGCCTTGTGTCAGTCCTTGTGTCAGTCTTGTGTCAGTCCTTGTGTCAGTCTTGTGTCAGGCCTTGTGTCAGTCCTTGTGTCAGTCTTGTGTCAGGCCTTGTGTCAGTCTTGTGTCAGTCCTTTTGTCAGTCTTGTGTCAGCCTTGTGTCAGTCTCTGTGTCAGTCCTTGTGTCAGTCTTGTGTCAGCCTTGTGTCAGTCTCTGTGTCAGTTTAAGGATTATGTCTGCCTATATAAGTGATTCAGATTGTGATTCAGGATTCGATTTAGTTAAAATACACCCATAGTCTCCCTGTGTACACCCATACCCTCCCTGTGTACACCATACCCTCCCTGTGTACACCCATACCCTCCCTATATACACCCATACCCTCCCTGTGTACAATTAGAGGTGTAACACTGTTCAATGTTTCCAGACGCGCCTTGAAGATCCTAACTTGGTGACCGATGACACAGCAGTTGACGACCTCTCCATGTTCTGCTGCGCTCTCAACCCTACCGACTAACTCACACCCTTCTGCAGCAGTGTGAGCTTCTCTCTCCCTACTGTGACTCCTTCTGTCTACCTTCCCTACGCCTCCCACTACACACTACAGGAAAGATACAGGTATCATTCACAATATTGTCTTTCTCTAATGTTGCAATGTTGCCTTGTGAGTTGCAAATAGGAAAAGCGTATGGGTCAGGTTGTCATCAGGGAGAGAGGTTAGGGAAAGATGGAAGGAAGGAAGGAAGGAAGGAAGGATAGAGAGAGAGAGAGAGAGAGAGAAACGACTGGTTATGCAAAATGAAACCACCAATAACAACCTTTTACTTCTGTTTATTCTAACTTTTTTCTTATATACCATTTATAAAATAAATCTACATCCAAATAAAACAAACTAATTTTTTTCTTATCCTTTTTGCATATAATGATTTTTTTTTCTTTTATCTGATACCTTTAAAGGCTAAAATAATTAATGGTTTCTACTATGGGAGAAGGAAATCTTGTGTGGCGTTACTAACCTCCACAGTCGGGTTGAGTAAAGGGACAGGTTAAAGCCAAAAGGTGTGTTGTGTTGTGTCACTTGAACTTGGCAGCTAACTATGAGAGGGGGGAAAAGGCGACGCATTTTTCGAACTATTCATATCTGTGTGTGTGTGTGTGTGTGTGTGTGTGAACGTAGACACTTGTGGGCGGGAACATATCAGATAATGTTTGAGTTGAAAGGTTTTATCAAGAAGGTATTAAAAACGTCGCAGTTAATTAATGTATTAAAGACGATCACTACAGAGCGTTCGTCCTTTGTTTCTCCTTGACGTGACAGTGACAGGCTCTATGACAACACCGTAAGTCTTGACATGACAGTGACAGGCTCTATGACAACACCGTAAGCCTTGACATGACAGTGACAGACTCTATGACAACACCGTAACCCTTGACATGACAGTGACAGACTCTATGATATCACCGTAAGCCTTCACATGACAGTGACAGACTCTATGACAACACCATAAGCCTTGACATGACAGTGACAGACTCTATGACAACACCATAACCCTTGACATGACAGTGACAGACTTTATGACAACACCGTAACCCTTGACATGACAGAAACAATTTTACTGAACAAAAATACAATGTCACAATACTTTAAAAGGTTGTTGTATCCGTCCACCACAAAGCGACGATGATTGGTGAGGTCTTTGTCCTGCAGATTACTACTACCTAGACAATTACACTCTCTTGTTTATATACTCTCTCTCTCTCTCTCTCTCTCTCTCTCTCTCTCTCAGCTGATTTTCCCATAAGGGTGTTCTTTATCTTTGTATCTGTCTGTTTCTCTGTCTGATTGTCTGTCTGTTTGTCTGTCTCTGCCTGTCTGTCTCTCCAATCCTCTCACTTGGCAGATATGTGATTCCACCTTGACGACTGTGTGGTCTTAGTGAGGTCAACTGAACACTATTTGGATTTAATGGGGATAAATAAAGACTACCTGGGCTTAGAACAGCTGAGCGTTACCTGGCCTTAATTAACACACCTGGACAATCCATGATCTCATTAGGTCATTAAATCAATACCTGAACCTAATTACGACAAACTAACACTACCTGGGGGCAAACCTTAACTAATTAGAACCCTCTCATCATTAACCTGACCATCATTAGACCAGGTAAACACAACTTAATTAGATAAGTTAGGCATCAGCTGACACACAACACCACGATACCCGGATATACGGCTTATACCGATAGCTCTTGGTGATTATTAAATTATTGTAATTTCCGAAAAAAAAATATCAAATTTGTAATAATAAGAGAAGATAATTATTACTGTATCCTGTATCAATGTTAGTCCTTGTATGTGTACCTGTATTTCTACCTGTTATTAATGTTGTAATTAATCGTGTTTGTTGTAGTGGAGATTGTTTACAAGTACAGGTATACGTACAGGTAAATTAAAGCGGAGGTACAGTTACAGGTATATATTTACAGGTACTGATACTAATACTGGTACATGATACAGGTAGTACAGGTATTAGTGGAGGTAAATACACAGGTACAACGACAACCTAACCTAACCAAACCAATCTAAACCTAACCTAACCAAACCTATCCTAATACTGACCACTAATGATCAATATTTCTCACCTGGGGATGGGCGTGGCAGTGGTAGGAAAGACAGGTGAGCCGGGTCGGGTAATTAGCTCAGTGATGGAACCTGATAGCCCTATGACCTGGGGTACCTGGGGTCACCTGGGGTCACCTGGGGTACCTGGGGTCACCTGGTCTACTGTGAGGGGGAAAGCTTCGCCACAGCCTTCGAGCTTAAGGTGAGTGAGGGTGAGAAGGGAGAGAAAGGGAGGGAGAGAGGAAGAGAAAAGGAGAATGGGGGAGAGATGGAGGTTTGAGAGAAGGTGAAGAGAGAAGATGAGGGTCGGAGAAAGAGAGGGTGAGAAGAGAGAGAGAGAGGGTGAGAGGAGAGAAAGGGATAATAAGTAGGAGAAAAGATACGGAAGCAAGGGAGGGAGGAAGGGACGAGAGAGAGAGATGTAAGAGAAGGAAAAGGAGGGAGAGACAGCGGAAGAATAAGATAAAATAAGAGATAGGAGAAAGGGAGAGAAAAAGAGACAGGAATAAGTGAGGATAGATGAGAAAGTGTGAGGAAGAGGGAAGACGAAGAGAAGGATAAGAGATAGAGAGAAGAGAGAGACAGAGAGAGAGAGAGAGAGAGAGAGAGAGAGAGAGAGAGAGAGAGAGAGAGAGAGAGAGAGAGAGAGAGAGAGAGAGAGAGAGAGAGAGAGAGTGGGTGTGAGTGTGAGTGTGTGTGTGTGTGTGTGTGTGTGTGTGTGTGTGTGTGTGTGTGTGTGTGTGTGTGTGTGTGTGTGTGTGTGTTTACCTGTTGTTGTTCCTTCAGGTACGTTACGACCCCGTTAGTCTTGACCCTGGATGACGCTGCCATCTCTGACTTCCATCTTTACTGTTGTCCGATGAACCTCTAGTGGCAGACAGACACCCATTTACCTGCCCCTGCCACCAGCCTCTTCCACTAGCTCTGTCACTTCCCTGCTACCTGCTTCACTACTACCCTGCCACCACCACGACCCCTGCCACCACCACCACGACCCCTGCCACCACCTGTTAAACCTCCTCCACCAGTTCTTGTCTTTAACAGGAGTGAAAGCCAATAAATATAATGATTCCAATCCCGGTACCAACTTTACCACAAAACCTATAGCAGTATGTCTGTATCTTTGTATGTGTGACTGTATGCATGTCTGTATGAGTGTATGTCTGTATATTTGTATGTCTGTGTGTCTGTATGTATGAATGTCTGCATGTCTGTATGTCTGGGCAATATGTATGTCTGTATGTCTGGGCAATATGTATGTCTGTATGTCTGGGCAATATGTATGTCTGGGCAATATGTATGTCTGTATGTCTGTGTATATTGTATTCTGTTAATAATATATGAATAATTAACAATACTTACTCCATTATTGTGATTGTCAAAAAAAATCAATAATTCTTTGTTGTTTATGTTAATGATGTAAAAACTATCAGGTGTTTCTTTGTTTATTTATTCTTTTGTATAATTATCTTTTTGTGCTTTTTTTTTCTTCTTCAAAGTTTACACAAAATTTTATAATAATATAGAAAGACTTCCAAAATTTTCCCCTATAGAATAAAAAAGTAAAAATAAACTGAAATATTACAGAAAAAATACGGAAAAAGTGATATTATTCCCTCGAAAAATAAACATAATTCCATTTTTTCACAAACTTTAGAATTATATAAAAGAAAATAACAAATAAATAATAAGCGTAACAAACAATTATAAATAAAACAAATGTAAATAAAAATTATGGATGAAAAAAGAAATAAACCCAATTATCCATCAACCATCATTAATTTCTTCACTATTCCTTGCGTTATTATATTTCCTCTTCCAATCGGTTCTCGTTTAAAAAAAAACATAAAAAAATTCTAATAAACACAAACACAAGAAACCAAAAACACACCTTTTACCTGCCGTCCATCACACAGCTTCCAGGTAAGGGAGAGGTAATTACGCCCTAGCCTCCTCCACCTACCTACCTGTCATCTCTGCCTCCCGTAGGTAACCTCCTCTACGTCACCTGTCCCTTCAACTCTCTATTAAGGTTTAAATTAGATAGAACCTCGGGGTAACAGAGACCTTATCAGCGTATAACCTTGTGCGGGTGAATAACATTAGGGGGGACTATTAGGTTTACGTACAGACAGATAGACAGACAGACAGACAGACTCACAGATACAGACAGAGATTGATAGATAGATAGATAGATAGAAATACAGACAGACAGAGAGATACCTAGACAGACAGACACTCACAGATAGACAGACAGATAGACTCACAGATACAGACAGAGGTAGACAGATAGGTAGATGGACAGACAGACATGTAGAAATACAGACAGAGAGACAGATACATAGACAGACACTCACAGATAGACAGACAGAGATATATAGATAGACACACAGACAGATAGAAGTACAGACAGAGAGACAGATACACAGACAGACACTCACAGATAGACAGACAGAGACATATAGTTAGACACAACAGACAGATAGAAGTACAGACAGACAGACAGATAGAAGTACAGACAGACAGTAGACAGATGGGCTATTGCAGACACTACAGACAGACAGGTTAGAAACAGTCCCATGACGATGTTTTTTGTGTTACAGTTAAAGGTTAATCGTTGGTGACCTATAAAGCTTCGAATGCTATGCACCGGTACTAATAAGGTTTCATATAATTGGTCACCCAGCCTGATAATTATGCCTTTGTTTATATCATCTGTGGAGTTTTTATATTACATTGCTTATCATTATGAGGCTTAATGAGTACAGGTTTTATTTTAATGTATATTTAGGATCACTTGACAAAACACCACCCCAGCTTATTTTACCTAGAGATTAATCACCCCAACGCTAACCTAATCCCAACCCAACCCAAAGCCAACTCAATCCCAACCCAAAGCTAACCTAACCCAACCTAACCTGAAGCAACCCTAACCCAACCTGAAGCTAACCTAACCTAACCCAAAGCTAACCTAACCCAAAGCTAACCTAACCTAACCTAACCCAAAGCTAACCTAACCTAACCTAACCTAACCTGAAGCTAACCTAACCTAACCCAAAGCTAACCTAACCTAACCTTTCCCAACTTAACCTAACTTAACGTTAACTTAATCTAACCTAAAGATTAACCACCTTAACGCTAACATAATTTAACGAGGCTTTAATCCCATATATAAACAGACCAGATTATACGATTCAGGTAAGTAATATAATTTCCCCATAATTATCCCTCGAAGGAATATAATCGTGTAATAATAAATTCATATATCTA